ACATTTTAAGATGTATGGACAATTATTACATAATAATTTTATATAATGAAAGGTTCTCCATGGTGGTAACTTTATATAATGAGACGTTTCACTCTTTTTTTTATTTTAATCTTTTGTGCTTAACACTCGCCCTTTGCACCCCTGTTGATCATCCCCCTCGCGCGTAATAAGATTCTTACACATCATTCTTTCGCAACGGAAATCAAATAATGATTATTAAACTATGAATGCATCATGAAATACGTGCGTTCTTGATTATTGATCGTCAATTAAACGTCATTATTCACTTGTTTTGTAGTTATCTTTATCATTACCAGTGTGTTATAATAATTACCATTAATCATTATAATTACGATATAACGCTATAATTAATCCTCCCACACAATTTACTGCAATTCGCTCGCTTTTAACCGTGATAACGGCAGAGAGAGAGCACGTTTTTTCTTTATTATATGATAGGATGCATAGCGAATGTGTCGCAGCTGTTATCGGCACAGTAAATTTCACCTCGCCTCGCATTATAGTCGTCATTATAGTGGATTTTCACCGGGAGGCCATGTATCTTCGAAAGAATCCTCGTCGTCCCTTTCGACTTCTTTCGCGAACGCAAGCCCTTCAGGGCGGCCTAGCCACGTTCCCTCCGACTTCCTTCTTCTCGCGACAGATTAAAGAAAAGAAAAGAAACTGACAGATAAAAAAAAATATAACCGTAAAAAAATAAGTAGATCGGATAAAAAGTAATCTCTGGTAGAAAATCTGCTTGGAAATGCAACGTTTTATACGGCTCACAGTCTCTAAGAGGTTGACGTGATCCTTCACGTCGTGTCTCGATCAATCGCGGTCCTTTCCTTTTCCTCGTACGTGAGAAGCGCGCAATTATACTCGCAATTATACTGTATACAGGATGTACCGAATCTCCCAGAAATTATTTTACGGATGGACGTTCCAACCAATTTGACAATTTTGCAATTTTCAGCTTTTTAAGTCTCGATTCTAGAATCGATGAAGAACAAAGCATATTTGTCATCGATCGCTTCGTATGAAAAGAACTTTTATATTTTAAATATAATGCGATAATTAAATGACAGCTCTTTTATGCCCGACTTAATTTATCTCCGCTGAGTCGACTTCAAATTCGTCGCAAAACTCGTCCGTAAAGTATTTCTCGGCGGGTCCGGGACACGCTGTGCACAATTGAAATGAGCGAACAATGTCAGGTATACACGTGTACGTATGTACATGTACGCGTAGACATTTAGTTGTTACGTTTAGTTTTTCTTTTTTTTTTTTGGTGCGATTACATGACTAGAAATGCTTATACACATACGTGTCATCCATTCGTCCACGCGGCCACACGCATACACACATAAAAGTAGTATAACTAATACGTGACTTAGCAGTAGTATAACTAATACGTATCTCTATGTTTATATATGTATAATTATATATTTTTGTATGTATAATTATATATATATTACTCGTCACAATAGCTTCTACCGGCTGTCTGTGTATTAAGCTAATTTTACAACAATATGGCAATCATGGTGAATAATGAATAATACAGCTACGTTATCGCGAGACTACACAGTCAGTAACACTAATCTTAGGGACAGTAATACAAAATAAAAAGATTCTCGCATCACGGATACAGTTTTGCCAAGCGAAATTAAGTCGCGTGTTGTACGACGAAGCAACTCGCGCTATCACACGGGCTATGATATTCTCGGATTCATCGTGAAAACCTTGCAACTTTAATTCGCTACAAAAGCGACCTGTATTTTTAATAGATAAAAATAACGTCGAGATTGAATACTTTTAATAAAAATAACCAGCAAACTGCACTGAACCCCTCGAGGTATAATCCATCTTTATAATACATTTTTTCCTGCAGAGAAAAACATTTTATATGTGAAAAACTACTATACAAAAAAACTCCTACTATTTCACGCCACAAAGTTGCAACGTTTTCACGCGGGCGTTCCGTGCTGTCGCAATAAACAAAGACGAAAAAGTAATTTCTCATCGATCTCACTCCGCAAAGCATTAGCTGTCGATTCAAGTTCTCTCTTCCATCAACAAGATTTATCTCGGACAGATTCTTTGCGGCATGACTCTCTCAGATTCTCAATTCCACACTCCTGATCAAGTTACCTCGTCAATGAAATCACGACCGCGCTAAGCAACTTTTCTTTCGCGCTGTTTTCCCCGTTTACCGCGACTTGTAGATTGATATGAAAATGACATGAATCATTGCGCGCAATCGCCATAACGCTCTACGTATAAAACTTCTCTAAGATACATCTGAATAAAAACTGTCCGGAAAAACGCCTTGGTGAATTAAAAATAATCGCTGTTTTTCCTTCCATACAAATAAAATAAACAGAAATAGAATAAAATAAAATAAAAAACGATAAAAAATCTTCGATTTTATCACAAACGTTTAAACGTGAAGATGTTGAAAAGGTACCGCAATTTTTCAAACGTTTCTCATAGACAACTCTTGAATCGTGTGAAACATTTCGTCGTTAAATAAATCGCTTAGAAGGAAAACTTCAATTTCCCGATGTTGAAGCACGAACTAGGCCACCCTGGCGAAATTATCTCGGACGACATCCAAGATATCGGATCGTCACACTTAGTCCGATGGTGAAGCCCGTTACGATCGGTTGTGAGACGAATGTGAGGTGATACGAAATGAAATGTGCGTCGCGTAGTGTGCCTCGAAGGGAGAGAGCTCGCTTATACCAGTGAGCTCTATAACATATTGGAGCAAGTCATCGAGGAGTGAAGGTGTCTCAATTCCTAAACAAGAACACTCTAATGCAAAGTTGGTACTGTTTTCTTTATCAGGAATTCGCTGATTGGCGAATGCTGTTTTACTATACCATAAGTAGAAAAGAGTCAGAAAGACCAATATTGTTTGTCTTCTTTTTTTTCATCGAGCCGCAGTTTTCTATAGTTTAGCACAGGGAAGGCTCGCTCCAATATATTATAGAGCTCACTGGCTTATACACGCGTGCAATGAGAAACAGCAGAGTGAAAGACGCGAAAAGAAACGCGGTGATGAGACTCGTCGATCCGATCGTGCGGCATGAGCTTTATGCTCGTTACGACCTGTATCCCGATTCTGTAATCTTAACGTCAGTGTCGGTATCGTAATATTGTCGTTGCATTACTTTTTATCATATATAATACCTGCGCAACACTATATAACGATACCGTCACTAGTCTTCTTTTTTTCAATTGAACTTTTTGCATGATTTACTTCTCCTTTTCTCTTCACGTTAGAGAATTAAAAAAAAAGTTCAGTTAAAAGTGCAAAAAGTTCTGTTAAAAAAAGAACGAGTCTAATGTTATTAATACCCGTTTCTGCCAATGTAATTAACTTTAATCACTGTTCAACTTACTCTTCATCTTTTTCCAATTCTTAGAACTAGAAAAAGATGAAGAGTTAGTTGAACCGAGATTAAAATTAAACTACATTGGTAAAAATGGGCATAAGAGAATCGGAGTACTGAACACAAAGATTGTCGTAACTTGTAACTATTTCGGACAGAGTCGTAACTCAACGTAAAAATTTATCGTAATTGTTTCCAACAATCTTCGTGCTCAGGCCTCAGGCCCTTACACACGATACGCAGCAATACGCGACAGGGTGGTCCCGCGAGTCTCGAGCGTATATTACTCACATTTAATATAGTATCACACATAATACTATATTATTATTATATATTATATAGAATTATATTATATATACAGACTCGAGATATCTGTCCACCTGTCTCGCCGCAGCGCGATCAACTGATCGCTTGTCTTTCGATCTCGTCTACCGTCTTTTGCAATGGTCGTCTTATCAATTAATTTCGGATCGGATCTGCCGATCTTTGCGAATGTCGGTCTCCCATGTCGCAAGGCCAATAGGCAATACATTGAACGCTTTACAGATCTTTCTTTCGATTTTGCTGAAAAAAGCTAGTACTCATGGCCGCCATTTCCTGTCTCGAACTCGCAACGGTTCTGTATTTCTACTAGTTTATCGCAAACCATTCGCTCGCGTACAACCGTCCGTTTCGCCTAAGTATCTCGTCTAAGCACTCATCAAGGAAACATGCATCTTGCATACAGAAACATCGCTTATATCGCTTCTTAATGCTGAATCATGTACAAGCTAGCAACGCAGTAAATCGGTAGACTTACAAATATACTCTCATATATTCTTGTTCACGACCCCCGTACTTGATATCTACGAACATTTCACTTAAATTAACGCGTGCGAACTCTCCTCCCTCCCAGATCTCCCTCTCTCTCCTAAATATATTCTCGGTAAAACAATTTCACCGACATGTGTCGTCGACGAGCTCCTCGATAGATTGACTAGAGCCGAAAAACGATCATCTTCACGCATGATTTCGATTTAGTTACGTTACACCGCGGGTTGCTCGATCTCTTACTAAATCTTAGATTCGTGTGGAATCAGTACAAATCGAGCAACGTCGAGAGATGAATCTTTGGCTCTTGTCGGACGAGACGTCTCCCAGACGGTTTTTGCTCGATTTTGTTTCCTGTTTTGCTTTCTCAATTTTACGCGTCCATCGTATTTATGCATATACGCAGTGAGAAAAATATTCTGATTAAATCAAGAAAAAGACCCAAAAAGAATAACATTTGTGTTAGTTTAATCAGAACATTTTTCTCATAAGGGAACATGCTACATTGCAAAAAAAAATACAAAAAACCAATGTTATTAATCGAAAGATCACATTTGAAATAGATATTCCAGTTGGTCAAATCTTGAATTGTTGATTCTGTAGTTTGGAACCTATTTGGTCATTGTAACTTAGACACAAAATATCTCGAAAACAATACATTAAAAAAATATTCGAAATAAAATTTGTAAAATTTCAAGAGGACCATCAAATGAGTTACTTAAATTTTAAAACCACTTGAACCCAATAAAGCCCTGAACCCAAAATCTAAATAGCTCAACAGATGGTCCTCTTCAAACCTTACAACTTTTATTTGAAATGTGAAAATGCATTGCTCAAAATATTTTGTATCTAAGTTAAAATGGCCAAACATGTTTCAGCCCAAGTCGGATACAGAATCCATACGATCCCAATATTTGACAATCTAGAATACTTAATTCAAATATGAACTTTGATAGCATTAGTTTTTTTTTATATCACTTTTGCAATGTAACACGTTCCCTTATCAGTACGGTACAACATAGTCATAAACAATCAAGTCGCGCGCGAATAGCCGGATTCGACCGACATCGCAATTGACAGCGATCTGCTTCCTCTAATGAATCAATCGAAGTCTCGGCCGCACAGTTGATTCTCTTCGAACAGTCACAGTAGCTAAATTTGTTAGCGCAGTAGTTAATACGATAATTTAAAGTTAAAGTAATCCGTCTACCAACGCTAGAAACCGATGTTCATGATCGGTCGAATCCGCGTATCTTGCGACAACGACCAACAACGTCAATCCTATCGTGTCCAATCACTCTCCCGACAGAAAGCGCAGTTTACTGGGCCCCACGATACTCTAACGTAGCTAGATTAAAATTTAAATCATGCGCATTGGCACGCGCTATTTGGTACGTTTGAGACTTCTTACACATATTTCATCTTTTTGGTTTTCCGTATAAATACTTTATCTAAGTCACTTTAGTTAAAGTCACAAAATACGATTAACTCGTCACTCGTCTCACTGATGACGCCCCAAATACCATCGACTACTTGACTACTAGTAACGTAGCTTAGAAGCGTCGGGTATCGTCTGATACTTGAAAAGATTAAAGATCAAATAATTTAAGATCGCTAATAAATAGCATTGCTGCCACACTCGAGGCTCGTTTCTAAAGTATACTTCGTTACATTGACGGTTCGTGGTCCACGCGAACGATACCAACGGTACAAAACACTTCTGAAGAGAGTATACAGTATGAACTCTCCTGTGAGATCTAGAAGTTATCTCAGAAATATCTTTCAACGGTTGTATCGTTCAAGTATCGTTCAAGCATTTGAGAGTGCATCCTTCTTCAAGTATCAGACGAGCACAAGTATCAGCGGCCGATATTTTCGAGCCTTGCTTCAATTGCATTCGTCAGCCCTCGATATATCGTGCAGTCGCACTCGCGCTTTCCATCCACCCTTTTCGGCTAATCTGTCGTCGTCTTTTTACTCCAAGGACCTTTATATTGATCTCAGTTAGGATCACTGTCAGATGACAAAACGGGATCTCTGATATCTCGAACGATCGACTTCTCGTCACCTGATCCCGACATAGGGCCTGAGCACAAAGATCATAATATTTGCCATAACTGTTGACGGAAAAAAAAAATAGATTAGATGGTTCAGCAAAACTATAGTTTGCTGCACGAGTTCAACATCTATAACTAAGAAGATTTGATGATTCAATAAAGAAATCATGTCTGTAATTATCAGTGTGCTAATACAGCTAATTCTTTGCTACAATGAACACTGTTAATCTAACAAGTTTCCTTCATTACAGTAGCAAAAGTATGCGCCAGCTTAGCTAGCATGTTTTGTAAAAAATTTTGGTGTATATATTGGATCGATTTTCAAGGAAAGTTATCTCTTTTCTGTATTTTTTTTTTTTTTAACAAATTTGTTGTGCTATTACAACAAATATGATTATCTATAATCGCTAATTTTATTTAGCAGTACAACTTTGCTACTTTAACATAGAAAACTGGTTGTCTGTATATTACGACCGTAGATTTCCTGAATCAGTGAAGCTTTTAGTTGTTTTAATAAATCTTTTTTTTCCGTATTTTTAATAGAATCGTAAGACAACGCACAAAGATTTATCGTAATTATTTTCAACGTATGTTGATCATTGTACGTTAACTTATGACACTGTCAAAAACAATTATGACAATCTTTATGCGTACTTCTCTGCACTATGCCTATTCCCATCGTCCCTTCAGTTTCTCCTTTTCTGACGAGAAAGCAATCGGAGTATCGAAACGTGACGATGCTCATCATCGGTGGCTCATTTTCTCTCGCCGGTATCTCCCCCAACAGTTACCGTGTAATAAAATATAACTTATGCGAGATAGCGCCGAGTACAGTACGATTGTGCGCAACGAGATTCTTACTTGTCCTGTCCCAGAAACGCACGTGTTGGTGCACGCGCCTAAATGTGAGGTCCCATGTGTGCATACGAGAGTACACTTTCCCTCGCCCATCCCTCTCTTTTCGTACACTGAACTTAACCATCAATATTGTCGGTACGCCCCGTAGGAAAAAGAAAACGGAAAGGAAGAAAAACGAAGCACTTAGAAAAATACACTCTTAGGATTCCCGCGAATCGCTGCAGCGCATACGCGTGTGCGCAGGATGTCTCAGAAATTGTATACACACAGGTACGTGTGTCCCTGCTTGAACGCACGGAGCGTCCATGTGAAAATCTTGGATTCACTGTCAGTAAACTAGCGACAATCATTTTTAATCGTAAGAAGTCTCGTTATTCCGGAAAATTTTTTCCCTCGGTATCCGCTAGTAAGATAATGCGAATTATCCCGCGCGTAGAAATCGCGTGACTTTTCATTTTCCTAATATTCCTACCAGGAAATTTCACCGTATGAACGGATAATTTCAGAGTCGCTAGAATTTCAAGGGTCGACACGTTCTTACATATACTTGGAATTCGTGTACGTGCGCTAAAAGTATACTGTACATGACACTCTGTCGACGATCGTTAACGAAGGGAATAAATTGCTTCACCGTGAAAAATAATTTATGCGCGTGTATGTGCGTATGGATCGACATTTGTGGCTGTAATGTTCCTGTGCCTAGGAATATCCCATGTGCGTGGTCGTCGTATTAACTGCGTAATAATTGCATGACGTATAGAAATGACATGAAATAAAAATAGAAAGATCTAACCGTTATATTACGAGAAGTAATCAACTGAGCTTGGAGATACTTCGCGATATCGACACCGCGCGTTACTCTCTTACAAAATTTACCGCGTTGTCCTTCAACCGCTCTCCGCTTATCAAAATGCAAATCTGGGAAAACGCATGTCAACGCTCTCGAGAGATACGTTCGATCGCGTGCGAATTTGTTCCTCGATGGAAAGGAGAGACATAAGAGAATATATGAACGTGTATATGTGTATATATAAACCGAACTTCGAGTGCGCTTAGTAAAATCTGTGTGCGAAAATTGTGGGAAAAGGTTTCGACTGGTATGCGCGGCGCGCACACGTGACTCTTCCTCTCTTCCTCCGCGTGGAGCGTCATGGAATGCTCGAGCGTTTCTATAGCGAAACGAGAATGAAGCCGAAAATCGCGGTACAAAATGTGCTCGACGATTCTTAACATCAATGGCCAGCTTCGATTAAACGGTCCGCGACCCTCTCAATTTTGTACAGGACCCGACAGTTTTCGTCACCGTCGACGATCGGATGCAAGCACGATTAATTAAGATCCCTTTCATTTCTTCGGCACATATACTAAGGTCATTATATCACCCGCGAAATCGCCATCGATCGCTTTCGATCTCGTTTCCTGCGAAAACAACATTTATCCTCTCCGAGGAACGGAGCCAACGATGGCCCACCGTCTCATTCTTAGAGCACGCGTTTCTCTCCCGCAATCGATCGTTCTTTCTCGCTGCCTTCGTCAAGGAGCGTGCCGTTCGTCCGAACGACATCACGAACGATTGTCGGCTTCTCAGATTCATTAGTATAAGACAAGACAAACTAAACATTTTGCTACGCTTCTGCACAGCGTTGATAACGAAAGGGGTCGTCTTCCTCTCTCTTTCTCTCGCTCTCCTTCTCTCTTTCTCGCGTCGGAGTAGAACCGAGACGAGCCACGAACCCATTGAAGAATATCGTCCGGCCAGCCATATCGTGGGTAACGTTTTCCTCCTCCGTTTGCGCTTAACGTAGAATACAGAATTAGCCTAGTAGAGACCGCAGCCGCGCAGATTATTGGCGATAATGACGTCTGTGACTGCGTCGAACACAAATTGAATGTTGTTCGTGTCGGTGGCACAGGTCGTGTGGCAGTAAATCTCCTTCGTGGTCGACTTGTTCTTCGCTTCGAACTGTGCCTGGATGTATGCAGCCGCTTCGCTGTACGCCTGCGCACCTACGACGAGCATTCAACGCCTCGTTAGCCAACATGCTTATAAGATGATAAACTAGAACAATAGCACGTGTTTTAATATATAATTTACCAGCGTATTCGGGAAAACAGATTGTGAGAGGAGACTTGCGGATTTTTTCCTCAAAGAGATCCTTCTTGTTCAGGAAGAGGATAATCGAGGTGTCGGTAAACCATTTGTTGTTGCAGATCGAGTCGAACAGCTTTAAGCTCTCTTGCATTCGGTTCTGTAAAACATCAAAAGGACTAGTTACATTCTCGTTCGTTTATATGAGATATTCGTGTAATTTCCCTTAACATTCTTATCGTTTTCTCTTCCGCAAAACACTTAGATGCAGAAGGACTAATCGAGAAAGATACGTTTATGTAATAATCACATTGGTATAAATAGCACAAATGATTCAAGCCCGTGATATATGAAACTCGCTCCCTAAACATGATATTATATTTAAAACGATCCTTATTAATGCGGACGTGATACGTGATACACTTATTCTCCGCACATAATCAGTACAGGTTACGATGGACCGGTGATACAGGGCACGAGATGCACACCGTAATGGCAATTAACATTGGTAGGACGACGACACGCGTGTGTCACTATCGCATGCGAGTGGAGAGTTCAACGGAACCTTCCCACGTGCAGCGACCTCGGCAATTGATCCCTTGATTCCTCGGAGCTTCAGTTACGTGTATACTGTCGCATTCCTAATTTGGCCATGATATTCTTCTGACGGATCGCCGTACATTCAACCCTGTATGTGCATACATCAACCGTGTCCAATGCTGATTATCTCGGATTCTCAATGTAACCTCATGAATGCGCGCATTTACAATCGCAATAAGAAGATTCGTCTTTATCATGTCTCGTGGATTAAAAACACGTTGCTTTTTCGCTTTGTTTAATTACATATTTATTTAAAAACGTGATATATTGGCTGTGATAAAAACACCAAGATTCGATGTTTCTGAACTTTTTCTCAACAGAATGTTGATTTTATTATATTTTAATGCAACACACATATAAATAACATTAATGATTTTTTTATATATAAAATATAAAACACATTAAAATTATAAACAAAAATTAAATTAGAAATGATTAAGTTCAGATCGAACGTATTAATAATGTTCAATCGAATATCCAAGTAGAAAGAAAATGAAACATTATGAATATGTCAGAAAGGATAAATTAGAGTATTTACCGTCGTTTCGTCCTCGTGCAAGACTTGATCGTATTCGGACATTGCCACGCAGAAGATAATTGCAGTTACATCCTCGAAGCAATGTATCCATTTCTTACGCTCGCTCCTCTGACCACCTACATCAAATAATCTAAAAAAAAAGACAAAGATAAAATCAATTTTGTTGTCATTTTAGTTTTTGAGTCTTTTAATTACTATTCTCTATCAAGATATTATTAGAAAATAATCTCGATAAACAAAACATCAATGTCTGCAATCGTCACAAGCTTATGTGTCATCTAATTAGTTCTCAATCGGCACTTGATATCGCTGAGAGATATGACCAGTACGGTGGCTTTAACGAAGGCATAATTATTTTAACACGCATTTCAACCGCTAATGACACTAATTTTCAATCCTCCCCGATAAACGGAAAGAAGCATCGGCACATACGACTCATCGTTCGGCTTCGTTCCAAGTAAATGCTCGAATTATCACGGTAATGACTCACGCGTCGACCATTCATAACAGAGCCGCCTCGCATCTCAGAGCACCGCGATCGCTCGCAAAATTATATAAACAAATCGACACATAAATGAAGCAGGAACGATTGATATCGTTATCATGCGCAAAACAATCCTAATTAAAAATCCTCAAATGTAAATTTATTACAATGCATGATTTATTGTCCTATTTTAATTTGATTCATATAAATTCTTGTTTAATTTAATATAATCGGAAAAAAATTTCGACTTACTTGAAGTTAAGGTTTTTGAATGAGAAATGGACTTCCACGATTCCTGTCGTTTTTACTCGGGTCCTGAGAATATCCTGTTCCGTTGGCTGGTAATCCCTCGTTCCTAATCGGTCCAAGTCATCCAGGAAGCTATAAAAAACGATAGATTTATAAAAAAATGTTGCAGAATTGTAAAATACAAATAATACATTACATTTACATATTTCCATATTCAAAGTATTTCGGCAAATTGTTATAAATTAATTATCTCGTGTAATTTGTTCCTACATTAAATATTTTATTTTGTTCGCTATTTCTTAAAACAAACTCGGAATAATTTTCCTCTTTAATTAATTCCGGTTTATTCATTTTTATGAATGTTTTTTTTTTCATATACATGAGCGTTTTCATCTTTGGTCATAATTCTTCGTGACATATATTGTACGATCAATAATTTTGTGAACGATTATTATCGATTAGTTTGCAATAAATTAGCATCTGTTTATACCTCTAATAAATCCAGATTAAATTTCGAGCGGTGAGAGCGTTTAAGGTGGGAGCTAGGGCGCGGCTCGCAACAAGTAGCTGGAAGCGAGTGTTGCGAGTGTTGGATATAATAAATGGTGTTACTGTAATCGGGTCTTCGTAAACTGCCGTGCGAACTGGCCACGAGGAAATGCTTCCGCCAATGCAAACCGCCTCGGAACTTTCTAGTCGATTGTTCACAAAACCGGCACTATTAATTCAACGCCGCGCGTAAGTACATAGAAAGAACAGTTTTGCTGAAGTATATAAAAATTTAGTTAAGACCGATCTAAAAATAATTTTATTACATCATCAAATTAATTATGTAAACCATTTAAATATTGATGATAATGTTGAAAAAGTTTTTACTTTCTAGCAATCAGTTTCAGCATCCTACATAATTATTTTGATAATCCAATAAAATTATTTTCAGATTTATATATAGCTAAATTTTTAAATACCTCAGTAAAACCTTTCGTGTAACAATCAAATCCGATTACCTTCTTTTTTTAGAATGTTTGTTTCAATATATTACAGGATATTTGCCAGAATTAATAACAACGTTCAAATAAATGATGACCAAAAATTTATGAAATATTTGAATTATTAGCTTCATTGCTAATTAAATTAATTAGTTCCATTGATGACTTAATATTTCTCCATGTTGAGTAGGAGTATTAAATATTGAATGATAATCTAAACAATATAAATATTCAACAATGAGAATTAAAATAGATGCTAAAAATAATTATTTTTCGAAACAAAATCATCATATAACAATATCATTTTATATAATCGTTAAAATAATCAAAATGGTTCTTCATTCCGGTTATAAAAATCGCCGCATATCCATACATTTTCCAAGTAACAAAAGAAAAAGTAAAATGTTAGGAAAAACCACGCAGCGCCATCTTTTTAGATCTCTGATTACAGCGTTTAGGGGTTGCAACTTTGCAAGATGAGAGTTGCAAAATTCCTCTTAGCTTTCGTAATGAAAAAAAAGAATGAGATGAGAGAAGAGATTAATCAGAAGCTGATTATGAAGAGATCTAATGATAGATGAATTTCTGACAAGAGAGGAAGAGAAAAAAAATGCAAACAATAACAAGATAATGCAGTAAAATGGAAAGAGTCCAGAATATGAAGAAGTGAGCGAGAAAGCGAGAGAGAGAGAGAGAGAGAGAGAGAGTGCGCAAGAAATGGAAGCAAAGATCGAAGCACGGGGGAATCAGGCCGCCATGAAGGATTCGACTATTCAAGACACGCCAAAGCCGAGACGAGCGAGTGAATCCTGGTAACACCTCCCGGGGGAAAAGAGTTTAGATTTTTCCGGCAACAGAGAAAAAGAAAAAAACACGAAGAGAGAGAGAGAGAAAGATGCGAAACTGAGTAGAAAATAGGAGAGAAGGTGTAGTTTCGCCGGAACCCGATCGGCCATCTTGGTCGCGTGCCACGTGACACGGGCGTGGCGTGACGTCATCTGCGATCAATAATGACGAGGTGCGCACGAGGGAGAGGAAGAAAATCCCCGAAGAAGGCGATAAAGAGAAAAGAAGAGAGAAAGGGGTACATTTCTCGTAACATTTCGACTATAAGAGCTACCTCCCCCGCCATATCATCATCCCCCTCCTCCATCCCTCCTTTTCGCGTCTTTGGACAAACCTGTCGCACTCCCCCGGCACTTACCCCTCGGGAAATTCGCGTTATCCTCTTCCGGCCTGCGCGCGAAACGAAATTCCCGCTGCGATTCTATATATATATATATATATATATATATATACATATATATATACACACACATATATATCTGAAGTTCCCAAGGGTTATTCAAGAAAATCTCATCCCTTCCCTCGAAATGTTCATTTTTGAGATTTCAGAAGACCTACACGGTTGATGAGTCTTTGAACCGAACTATGATTGAGTTCTCTCCAAGTCAGAATATCGCGAATACCAAAATTATCTTACATGGAATCGTGAATATAATTTAGGAATATTATAAGCAAATTGAGAATGGAAAAATTTTCTTGCCGGAAATTGAGAAATTTTAATTCGAGAATTCACCGCGATTTTGCATCAATGTATATAATGTTTCGATATGTGGCATTTGCTGCAAGCGGAGATGAAATTTCTTTTTCGCCCATTTTTTCCAATTTTTCGACAAAAGATTTTCAAGATTAATACAACGTCAGTAGTACTGTTTTATCGTAAAATGTCAAACGGCACTAATCTATTTGTAAATTTAGTTTATTAATACCAGCACGGTCATTTATATTCTTATGTATACAAATATCGTGTTAAGTATACAATTTTTTGTTCTGTCATAAATATGTATGTTTTTGAATGAGTCGAATGCAAATAATTAATATAATTATTGAAAAGTAGATTCGTATTTTGCATATTTCACGACTTTAATTGAGAATATCGTGCGCTCTTATCGAAAAAGCATCGACTTTCGTTATACATATAATTATCAAGGGCGATAAGGGTTTCCTCGGTGAATGATATTAAATGATAGCGAAAGAAAGAAAAAAGAGAGAGAGAGAGAGAGAGCGCACTTGCGTGTGCAATAAGTGTACTGTATGCAATATCGTGCAACCTGGTGCGAAACCGCAGTGCGGTTTATTAAAGCTAGGAACGGCGCCAGAAAACGGCGTGGCGTTGAGGGGAAAAAAAGGACCGTCGCCCCTCTCGTATTGCGTGCAGACGATAGAACACGTATGCTCCGATCGAGTCCTGTCGCTAATAGTTAGCGACAGGACCTCGCAACAGTAGACACACAACCACGACGTGGCATACATACTACCCTGATTACGCGCGATTAAATCTTTCGCGACCAACTTGTTTATACAACGCGTTGATTTCTCTTCGTGTTTCATTGTCAGTAAGGGGATCTCTCATGAAAAAAAAGGCAAAGCTTATACGAAATTATCTTGCTTGAATTGTAAAAATGAGTTAGATTATAAGTAGAAATCTCGAATAAATCAAACGTAGAAATTGTTTCCTCTCTTGTCTCTTTTGCATTGACTTTTTATCATATAGTACTATTTTCGTAAAAGTAAAAAATAAGAGTAATCAAAGTTGTGTCACAAATTTCTCATTCTAAAATTCCATGACTTTTCTCTGATTTCTAAACAAAGTTTCGTGATTCTCTCCGACTTTCAATAATATTTAAAAATTTTGTGTATTTATGTTTTAATTTAAAAACGTTAAATATTTTGTTGAGAGATCAATTTAACGTAACAATATAAATTATTATTAATGTTGCTGACAATGCTTGCATTTTTAATTGTTAAATTGGTAGTATTTCAAAATTGTGTAGATATAATGTACATATACTAAATTTCTTTAAAGCCAAAAATTTTAATTTGTCAAAAAATTTTACAAATTTCCCTGACATTTCCATGATTTCCCTGATCGTTTTCAATTTCCCCTGACAATTCCTGACAATTCCAATTTTGTGGCAATTTTCAATTTTTCCCCGAAAATAATCGCTCGCGGAGAATGTTGGAGAAAAACGAATTCACTCTTTTTTTAATCGCGTTATTTGCGATCGACTTGTCGAATGTTGCGATTTGACTTTATCGAGGGGAATGGATCCGCAATCATTACACGCGCTCAAAAGCATCCCGTAATAAAAAAAAACATGTGCTTAACGAAGATAACTGATGAAAGTATTGGAAAACGGCACTACACCGAGATGTACAAGCGCTACTACAAAATCAATATCCACAACGAAGGGGGCAGCGCGGAAATATGCCTGCGAAACGCATCGAGAAGGAGAGGAGGGACGACAAGTCTCATGTTCAGGATGAGATTTGCTCCTGCTACCCTCCGCACGCGCAAGCCCTTTCGAGTACACAAATTCTCAAAAATAATGCACTTTCAACTATAAATCGTTACTTAAGCTTTAAGCCTTAAGCCGTACGACATCGACACTGTCACAGTCGAATGTGAGAAGAATAATCGATTATGACTGGTCAATTTCTTAAGACTTATGTAGGTAATATAACTTGCTGTAGAATGGATTTAAAATTCAAATTCTTATAAATTGTTATATTTTCTCTTATTGCTAAAAATTGTTTTATATTTCCCGAAATAATTTTCGTTTAAATAATACAATTTAAATAAAATTTACAAGCATCTCCTTTATACATAACTTATAAGTTATTTCTAACTAATAATTTGCAGCCGAATTAAACATTATATTTCGAGATTATAGTTATTAATTGTTTTGTATATTAAAAAATGTTGTATTTAATTCCTTCAAAGAATGATCGCCACTTACTATTTCGCGGAATCGTTCAACTGATACTCATTGCTCCTACCAAAGCACTCCTGCACTCCATTGTCGTACCACAGCCTCTTCATAGCCGCCAGCAATTCTTCGCTAAAAGGTTCCGTATCTTCCATTCTTTGTATTACGTCGAATACCATTTTTGCGTCCGTCTGGAAGCACGAAAAACATGTAAATCCTTATACCTGAAATATTCTTATCGCATCAATATATTCCCATCAATATCTAATTACTTTACTGAAATAATAATTAGTCGAATTTTTCCCTGTAATCTAGTTTGTACACACAGTTGAAAAATTTATGTTAAATTTAACACATTTCACTAATTGTCTTAAATGAAATTTTTGTTTTAATTTAATAACACAAAAGGGATGTGTCAGAAAGTAACATAAATATTATGTAAAAAAATTAAGACAAAATATAACATTGACATAATTTGTAAGTAAATTGTGAAAGTCAATTTTTTCAGTAAAATTAATATTTAGAATACGTTCAATTAACATCATGTATTTTAGTCATTCATCTTAAAATTTTAAAGTATTGTTATTTATTAACTGTCATAAATTATGTTATTTTAACACTAAGAAATGATGAATATTAATTCAACACAAAATATTTAAATAACAATGTTAATCAAATAAACAGTTAAATTAATCACATTATGTTACATTAACACTCAAATATGTTAAAAATTTAACACAATATTTTAATAAAGATTTGAATGAACTAATTTCAACAGAAATACAAAATGTTATTTACTATGCATGTGCCAGGTAGAATTTTATTTCTCGCATAAAATCAATATGATTTACATAATAAATGTTATATGACTGTATTTTAAAAAAATATAACAAATAATCATAATAAATTTTTCATAATTCGTCTATAATATGTTCATCTGAGATATTTTATAATCTTTTAATCCACGCACACACACACACACACATACAAAGAATTATAGGAGTGTAGTATTAAGGAGAGATGATCAATAATTATTCGTGCGATCTTGGGGGCACGCATCCGGCCAGTCAGATCGTCTTACACGATCACGCTTTAGACGGTTAATCAACCAGGCAACACGTTATGATTCGCCGTTGAATGCTTCATTCATTAGATAACGTCGGCATGTAGCAAACTACATTCTGGACGACATGTCATGCTTCACAAGTTAAAATGATCGATACACAACATTTAAATAACATACGAGATGTATGCAACTGATATGTGTGTTATTGAACCGTTTTCATAATTTTGCATTTGACATTTCATTGAAATGAAATGAGCGATACGAGCATGGCTGTATCTCGAGTATGGATGAACAGTATAAAGACATCTTTAATAAATCACATCAGAAATAAAAGGTAAATTACTGATGATTTCTGCGCATGCAGAATGCTGATCTTTTTTTTGAACTAATTTATTGACAAAAATTTGTTAAGATAAGAAAATTGGAGTATCCGTTTTACTATAACATATTGACGTTATAATAAATTAAATAAGTACTATAACACATTGACGTGATCGAGCTGGACGTATAAAACAAAGTTAAAAATTTTAATTTAAAATTCAATGAAACGCAGACGTGTGTCAAACGTAACGAATTTACCTTGAAGTTATTGGGTACTTTCCAACAAGAGACATAAATGACACAGTGTAAGGCTCTAGAATTACATTGGTCGTACAACAAATTTTCAAGCCTGTTGATTGACTATAGGATAGAAAAATCCGAGATTTTTTCTATTCCGTAGCCAATAAAATGCTCGAAAAATTTATCGTATATTACAGGTAATACGACGTAATATTACAGGTTTGCCACAAAATTGGAAATCAGGAAAATCGAGGAAATATCAAGAAAACTGAAAACGGTCAGAGAAATCAGGGAAAAAAGTCAGGGAATTTTATAAAATTTTCTGAAAAATAAAATTTTTAACTTTAAAGAAATTTAATATCATTGGGTTTGAAATTAATATTAACACCAACACAGTGAGAATTAATAGACACTGCATGAGTGTCAAATCAACACCGATATTTTTTAGAGTGTAACTTGACAATTAAATACAAGTAGTATCAGCAACATTAATTTACATTGCAATGTTAAATTGATTTTTCAACAAAATATTTGACGATTTCCAAATCAAGACGAAGCTAGAAAAAAATTCAGCATATTATTGCAAGTATCTCAGGGAACATCATGAAAATTTTCTGGAAACCAGAAACAAGTTATGGAATTTTAGGGTGAGAAATTTATTTCAACCTGTATTTATAGCTTAACAGCGAATCATTTCATCTTTGTCTAATATTAGCAAACCACAAGAATGTAATGATTCACTGTGTTACACTGTGTCACCTAGCTATGTCGCTTGCTGGAGGGCACCTATTTTGAAGTAACATCTAAGATGTGCGTGGCGCATCACGCGTATTATATTTCAAATTTATAGTTCAACAGAATCTCTCCCCGACAACAAACTCCTATTTTCTGAAGCATTCGAATAGACATAAATGCACATTACCTCTCGCTCGTTGGTTGAAAAGCTGATGCCCAGATTAGGCATTGCTCTGAGAATAGCGATTAGAGATTGTATCGTGTTACTGTATACGACGGGTCTGTACTGCTTGAAGTCTTCCGGCGTGAAGCCGCTCTCGTGGATAATTCTGAAAGCAGAATCGCACTCGCGTTAGCACGTCCGCAAGGCGAGACACACACACAGGATGTCTCCTCTTCGTAAATATTAGGATAAGGATGGTTAGTTTAAGACAACGTTTACTTATAAAATAAGGAAAGAGGGAAAAGGCTACACTTAAGACTGAAGGAATTTTCTGGGAAAGCAGGATATGTGTCAAGGGAAGTGTAACATCGATACTCGTACTTATTCGATACGATTCGAATGAATAGACACGTGGACATCTCCCACTTGATTTAAGCGCCTTTCGGCTCACTCGCAAAGGAGTTTGCAATCGCGCTGTAATATACGCGTATCACGTGCGCAACGGCTCGAATTAATATATGCCACGTAGTGCATCCTGTGTAAACGCATATATGAATTGCAATGCGCGCTACATGTACTCCGTGACTTACATGAGCGCCCATATATATCGTAACAATGTTCGGAGTCAACACAGGTGAATTATAGAGTCGGCGCCGCTATGTATACAAGTGAAAACACGGTGTAGCATTACGTGGAATAGATCTATGTCCGTACCAGCGGTTAAGTATACTTTTCTATGTATAATCACTCGCGAAAAAATATTCTAGATATATTTACGTAATTATATAATTTGTGTATTTTTATAATTTTCAAAAAATGTAAATTTGGAGTCAGATAATATACATTTACATCCAAGAGAAGCTGAAGTAATTTTAAGAGTTAATTCTTCACTCGTACAATATTATTCTAGTATTAATCAACTCTCTTTTGTCATATATATATATATATACGTCATCATGTACAAACATTCCAAGAATTTTAATAATTTCTTTATCAAACACGTATATGACGTCCTCGGTTTTCCTTTCTAGATGTAAAAAATTAGGAGCGGGCAATCCGGAGCTTTAATTAACGGATATTAATTATAATTTGTGCAGCAATATTTTCTAATGTAATTCCCATCGAAGTGACCGTCGCGTAAACATTTTAATGGTGCGTTAATCTCAACAAAGAATATTGCATTGTCCATTACGTTAATAAATGATACGGAAACAGTGTAGCGGCGTCCGCTGTTTCGAGATATAACGATATTAACGAGACGGCATGGAGAACGCTATATGTAATACGTACGCATACACCGCTAGATTTATGACTGCTCGCACGCGAGAAGAAAAACCGGCCGCATAAAAGTGTGCGTAAAATCACGCTTCGCTCGTACTTTAGTTTCGAGTACCGACTGTTCCTTGCATTATGCGCATCCATAAATTATGCAACTGGTGTACAGGAGATGCGGTTGTATATGAAAAGAAGCTTGTTTTAAAAATATTACGAATCTATAACTTTCCACGTTTCCTCCAGCGCCGTGTACAATCATACACAACGTGATAAAGTAACTATAACTATCTTTTTTCATCCTCTTTTTTTCCTGATATAACATTGATAATGAGTTACATACATCAGGATTTCTTTATAAAGAAGTAACAATATTTCAAAATTGCGGTCCATGGAAAATCTCTGGCATTTTTATCCAATACGTTCTATCTATTTCAGCTTTAAAAAAAAGAAATCTAATTAACTTCGAAAATAAAAATACTGAGAATCAAAAAGAAAAGCTCTTCAATATTATCTAGATATTATACGAGGAGCATCCCTATTCACGACTGACAGCTTCCCTTCCATTGGGAGAGCACGCACAGCGGTAACTTTGTTCGTGGGACCCCTTGAACAGGGCCCATTCATGGCGCAGGTCACAGGAAGAGAGAGACACCCCACAGAGGGAATATGCTAATCTACACGCAAGAGAGAGAGAGAGAGAGAGAGAGAGAGAGAGAGAGAGGGAGAGGGAGAATACGTGCCAACATCTCGGACGAGCGCGCGTCGTATCACGGAACAGCTGCTGCCCTCGGATACGCGCGAGCGTATCGTAACACTGCGAGTATCGATCTCACCGAAGCGAGGCAACAGTTTGCCTCGAAATAATGCCGATGTACGGACGCGAAAAGATTAATCTATTATTTGCACACGCGAGAGATGGACACGCGCTATTATTCGACGTCCTGCTTACTTTCGAAGCGCAGCGGTGATAATTCAGGAAATTGCGCCCCCCTCTCTCTCTCTCTCTCTCTCTCTCTCTCTCTCTCTCTCTGCGCAAAATACAGTGTAAAGAAGTCTTTCGGATATAAACGCAACATGAGATTTATTTAATGAAAAAATTATGTCCTTTTGATAATACTTACATAGAATACTAATAGGTATAATAAATAAATGCGCAATCTTCCAAGTATTTTTCACGCGAATTTGTCTATCAGTAATTTTGCGCGATATTCTTTCTTTTTTTAGCACAGTTTTTTATGTAAATATTTTTTAATGAAATCACTAATAATAATTTTGATTGGATTAAGAAGATTTAGATCAAGTAACAAGATTTAGCCAAGTAACAGAATTGCGAGCAAAAAATACTTTTATTATAATGAAACATCCCAAACGATTTAATTGCCAAGTGAATAAACATGCGTTATGATTCAAGTCATTTAACTTTTAGTAAGCAAACTGAAACGTACTTAATTAGAGATCTGACTCATTTCCGACCAGTTATTAAGTTATGACATTCAAATTTAAGTAGACTCGATCGCTAAAAATAATGAAACTAAAGTAATCAGCATTAAATTACTATTAACAATAGTAAAAAATAAGAATAAAATAAGGATACATATTTTTATTATACGTTTATATTTTTTAGAAATAAAGATATATTTGTTTTATATGATAAATTAAAAAACAAATATAATTTACGTAAAATTAAAAAAAAACATAAAAAGACATTCTGATTACATATAAAAGATATTATATAAATTAGATAATGAAAAACAGAGAGGCGCTCGCAGAATAGAATTTAAGAATTAAGATAATTAAAACTGAACTTTAAAATACAAAAATCTAGCGATCTATTCGGGGATCAGGAAAGGAACGTGGGAAAGTATTTCTCGTAATCAGTCTGCAGCTGACTGATGAATGTTCGCAAATTAGCATTTCCGTGACGTCGCGAAACATCAAAGGATGCGAGCGTTGCGGACATCGCATTGTACCATTGTATCCACAACCCATTCTTGACGCATTCTTCGTACCGTCTCATTTTCCAGTGAAAGAGCCATTAAATTCTGGGGTAACGAGTCCAAAATTCATCTAATTACGCACATACATGCATGAGCCGGATGAATCATTCTCATAACTGCGTACACTGTAATTCTGAGTAAGTTTCCGTATAATCCACATTTATCGTATTTTTTTGGTAAACTCTACGACTTTGTTTCTCGGAATCGTTTAAATGATTTCATTCAATCCAAAGTTTTTCTTTCAAGATTGACAAATGTAAATTGGAAGCTGTTGCATATACGGAAAAAAAAGAAAATTTATTAAAACAACTAAAAACTTTACTAATTCAGCCAGTATACAGTTATTTTTCCATGTTAAATTAACAAAGTTATACCGCTGAATAAAATTAGCGATTATAAATAGTCATATTTGTAATAGCATGGTTTTGTTAATATATAGGAAAGATAACTTTTTACGAAAATCAATCCAATATATATACTGAGAAAAAGATGCCTAAAAATATATTTGTGAGAAATATATTTATTTCACTGAAATATTTATTTACATACGGGCAAAATAAAATTTTATTCCTAGCAAATAAGCCATCTATTTTATTTTTTTGCAATTAATTAGATATATTTCACAGAAATTAAATATATTTCATAGAAATAAGACATATTTCACAGAAATATATATTTCACAGAAATGTATGTTTTCGTCATCACAATCAAATTTCTTAAGTAACATTTGTTTCACAATACTTCGACATTTTTCTCTCAGAGATCAAAATTTTTAACAAAACGTGCTAGCTAAGATGGCGCATACTTTCGGTACTGTAATGAAGAAAACTTGTTACATTAACAATTTTCATTGTAGCCAAGAATTAGTTGAATTAACATACTAATAGTTGCTTACAGACATAATTTCTTTGTTAAACTATCAAATCTTCTTAGTTGTAGATATTGAACTCGCGCAGCAAACTATAGCTGTGCTGAATCACTCAATCTATTTTTTTCCGTGTAGTCAACTCGGTTTTAATTTAATTGGTGTAATCAGGAATGGTCGATGTGTGTTAGGAATAAACAATACATATGGATGTAATCACGTTTCAATAATAGAACCCCCCTCCTCCAAATGATAATTAGCGCATGTGCGAAGCGCTAAAACGATTGTACTTACTTCATTTGTTTCACGATCGTACTCTTGCCGGACTCGCCCGCTCCTGAAAAACAAAAGAGGGGCATTAATAACTGAGAGCGATCAAGTCTCTCACGATTGCATATCGCCGAATTACGTTGCAACATGAACTTTGCGCGTTGAACAAAGGAAAGATAAGCCTCTTACTTTCCGTTTAATTCTAAGCGTAATTTACTCGAAAATTTACTTTGAGACTCCAGAATTATCTTTAATGACATTTCGTATCAAACATTGAAAAGTTGTGGCGAATAATCCCTGTTTATTAAATTATCATCAAAGAAAGTTCAATTAAAAGTTTGTCAAAGAATGTGTATAAAAAATTTTCAGTGACAGATCTCGTACACTGAGAGAATTTTGTTAATTTAGCAAGCCACTAGTACCTTTAACCGGTGATCGGTAAATATGTAACAACAAATTATGTTGTTGTGATTGCTGCTAGTCTGCTATACCAACTAATTATTAGTAACAGAAACAAACTATATAGAATCTAACCTATCTTTTGGATAGACTTTTATATATATATGAGCCTCTTATTTGCTAGCGATACTATTGATTATTTGTTACGTTGACGAATTAATTTGTAATCGTAACAAATCGATTGTTTTTTTAACAAATATCACATTTGCTTTCCCTTGATTTGTTTCTATAACAAAATCTTTTCTCTCAGTGTATATTGACCGCATTTCTATATGTGATGCCAGTACTGAAAATCTATAATTCACGTTACATACTAGGGATTTTCAATACTGGCAGTGTATATTGGAATACGATTATTAACTTGTATATTCATTGAGTTGTATAAAAAAAAAGTAAAGACGCTTCTGTCGACAACATTAAATTGTAATTTTCTATCAATAATTTTATAAGAGAAATGATCTCACAGGCATCACTAAAATCGGATCGACGAACGCATTAGGGCAGAGTCACGAGTTATCGCAAAATATGCCGCTCTATATACCGGATACGTCGACGGAACTCGCTTTTCCTGCTTACCGCAAGCCTCCGCTCTCCCACTTTTAAAAGCACTCCCAGCGTAAGTAGCCATCTATAATAGCTACTCAATGGTTAGAGTCGTTTAGCATCAACTGAATACACGTGAGATCTCGAGTAAATGCGCCCTATAAACGGCGACCGGGAAGAAAGGAGTTTATCTCGAGATACCGCGACGATGATCCTCGTCGCGTTCTAACCGAGGTAAAACATTGACTAGAGCCAAACGAGTTGCAAATTTGTCTAGAACTCGCCAAAATCATGTTCACCATCGCGACTCCTCTAGCTTCTGAGTTCTATTTTACTCCGATAAAGTAATCGCTTTTAGTATCCAGTAAAATAGTAGGCGCTATGCCTCTCGATAAAATAGAATAAAATAAAATCCAAAAGCACTCTATTTTAGATAAACTGTACTTAAAGAGCTCCCGGTAATGCCTGTATTAAATTCTATGTTATAACTTTCTAAATTGCATACGGAAAGAACGATTTCGTTGAAATATCTAAAAATTTAGCTATAGATGCAGATCTGCAAATGATTTTAATGGATTATCAAAATAGTTACGTACGAAACATAATAAATAATGCTACAAAATTCTCTAGCAATAAAGTTTCTAATAAACATAATTATTTTGATGATCCAACAAAATTATTTTCAGATCTGTATCTAACTAAATTTTTAGATACCTCAGCAAAACCGTCTTTTCCGTGTAGTTTGATTCATCTCCTAGTACTGCATCATATACTTTCGGGAACGCTTATTATTCATACGACTGTTTGTTGTACCGTTTTGGTATGATTTAGAGCCAGATCGCGATTACTATGGCGCCGCGGTAAAATTTGGCACCTGTCAGCCGCGTTTACTACACGTTGAAACTTTGCCGAAACCCAGAACTGTAAAATGATCGGTTTATCTTTCGAATCCGGTCTAGAAACGTCGATATGCATTACTTCCTGCAGCTGCGTTCTCATTCACCTGCTCTATTCGCGGAAATATGGCGCGTTGTGAGGGCGCCTTTATCCATCACAAACATGATAAATGTGGAGCAGAGATAATTTAGATAAATTTGAGTGCTCAACCGAGCGCTGCAGGAGACAAGAAACTGTTTGCACTTCATTGACGCTATATCATCAGTTTAGTATGGAATCAACCATGCATAGGAATATTCATGAAATGTTAATACAAGAGAAAATTAATAGCAGCTTTTGTAAATTAAACATAAGTAATATTATAAAATGAAGAAAACTTTATGAATTCGCATGTGAATACATGAATTAGTATTATAAAAAAGTCATAGCTAAATTTATAAAAAGGCAGAAATATTTTTATTCATTATTTAATACAAATTTTATGTATAAAATATCACGAAGAAAAGTTCATTCAACAAATTTCCATACGTCGAAGATCGATTGGATATTATTTTTATTCATTAGCGATTAATTATTACTAAAAGCAACATAATATATATTTCATTGAAGTTGCAAATTCGTATTAAAAATGCATCTGATTTTTCAATAGGTTGCAAAGATATCTTTTTTGATAATAATTTTTAATTTCGAAATACTTAGAAATAAAAAATTATTTTATTCTTTTCAGAAACTTTACTCTTTTCGATTATACCGTAAATTACAGCAAATCCTACGTAATTCTATATGCAGTTGTATTATGACTCTGAATCGAAAAATGAAATATTAATTGTAATTAAATATTAAATGCAACATAGCATACAGAAAAACACTTCACCGTGGGTTGTTATAAATTATAGGCTTCAATAAATTGTATTTTATTACGTTGCCCTCCTAACATTTTGGTCGGTTTTAAGCGCAAACGGTTACGCTTTCCGTGCCCTTTGCCATTTTACCACCAGTATACGCACTCGATACGCAATCAATGCTGTTTTTATAGTATGCTTAATGTTTACAAAATCTTTCATGACTTCCGAAGCAAACCGTCTATGTGAACTAGAATTCTCTCATAAATCTCTGGATATATTCGATGCATTTTGTATATAAAATACTTAGAAAATCTGGAAGGATATAATGATATCTTTTTGATATAATATTTTTTTCAATCTTTCTGTAAATTTTCATAATTAATTGCTACATTGAAATCTTAGAATCAATTTAAGAACATTGAAATAAGAAAAATTGTTTAGACAAAATTTCCTTGCTTCTAAGTTCAATCTGAGCACAAAAATTCGAAAAATAGATTGAAGAAATAATAACAAAAATAGGCAATTTTAAAAAGACCCTGTTGTCATCACAAAACTGCAGTAAAAAGGCTATTTTCTCTTTTTTCACGTATTTTTAACGTTTTGTCTACCGACACGCTGCACTCAGCGACAAAGAAGTCTCAGTCGCTGACATTTTATGCCATAGAGTCGCCCTGCGTCGCCTTGAAATACGCAACGTGCGTTTGTATTTCGCAGTCGCGGGACCATTAATCGGATGAAAATACTCGCAGCCAATTTGCGCATGCACATACACGCACGTTCGTCGGCAAATGACGTCACTGGTTACACCAACAAACAGGACCCATATTTCGCTAGAAAACGTATCTTCCACGGTGCTCGCACGTCGCATTTCAAGTTAACGATAGAATATGATTTTTAAGATTCACAGTACGTCCTCGGAAGTCCATCATCGTTAAAAACGATGAGGAACCTTCAGCGAATTAAATTTACGTAATTAAAGAAGAAAATTTTATTTATCAATTAAAAGCAAAATAATTTTACACTAAGAAAAACGTCTGATTGAAAGTGGACGAACCAGAAGATTCTCTGAATATATATCCAATTAGATTCTGGTCTCTCAACTAGAATTTAATAGATTTAACCAGAAAATTCTGATTTGTTCATTTTCAACTAGAATTTTATTTTTAATAAAGAAAATTGTATATAAATGTTATAATAATTTGATGAGCATCTCTAATTTTTTTAACACGCAACTTTATAAATACTTTCTGAAGATATCAAAGTAAGAATCACTTAATATTTTTTTGTACATTAATCAAAAATTAACTCGGAACATGAATGAATGAAAAATCATCGTGTGTCCTAAGGATTAAAAGGATGCGACGTGAGGTATGCCTAAAAAAATAAAATCAATATTGACAATTCCACCAGACACCAGATACATCCCTATGCGAAACGGAAAGCGAGAAAAGGCGAGAAGATAAATTGAAAACGTGCGAAGCAATTAGTACGCGACAGATAAACGAAGACAATACGCCGGTGCATTTTATGCCACCTCCGCACTGATTTTGCCTCTAATTATAGCGCGAGGCCGACGAAGGATTTTTCATTAAGACTTCGAATCACAGAGGTATTACTAGCGCGGTAACATGTACAACAGATGGTAAATGCTAACATAGTGTTCGCTCATTAATATATCGATACAAAGACAACACAATAAAATATGAAATTTTTCGACACGTAAAGCGGCGTTTTCAATGGGATTTTAAGGTATAAAACTTAAGCTTTAAGCCTTAAGCCATAAAAAATTGATCAATCATAGTCGATTATTCTCCTCGATTATAATTAGTCAATTTCTTGCGGCTTAAGGCTTAAGCTTAAGTTTTACGACTTAAAATCTCATTGTAGACGCGGTTTAATGATACACCGGTAAACGGAGTGAGATCATGAATGAATCTTAGGTCTTGTAACTATATCTATATATTTGTCTGTGTTGTGCCTACGTAATCATTGTATGTGCGTTACGCAATGCTTCCCTGCAGGAATTCTCCAGGCATGATTCATCGTGAGAATTCATCATTAATAATTTAGGATCATATCTTAATCTTTCCATCTTAGGATGTCATCAATGGAACAAACAATTTATTCCATTGACAATCTAATCTTTAAAACGCTTGTATAGTTCCCGTACTTATTTATAATCAGGGTTGTCAAGAAAACGAAGGAATTTTGCAAAATTTTCTGAAAATTAAAATTCTTGGCTTTAAAAAAATTTAATATACGTACATGACACACCTATGCAGTTTTGGACTACCAATTTAACAATAAAAAATGCAAGCAGTGTCAACAGCATTAATAGTAATTTATATTGATATGTTAAGTTGATTTCTCAACAAAATATTTAATGTTTATATTTATTTTTCCATATTAGGACAAAAATACAAAAAATTTGTTAACATTATTCAAAGTTAGGGAAAATCATTTTGGAAATCAAAGAAAAGTTATAGAATTTTGGGATGAGGAATTTGTGACAACTCTATATATTCTAAAGGAACAAAAACTCATTATAAATGCAATAACTCTCATACATCTATGTCAACGGAATAGTGTAATAGCGTAGATTTTCTCTTAAATTATGTCTGAAACGTTTCTGTCACTTAAAAAAAATTCATTAGGCGTTCTGCTTCTGATGGTGGAATATACCAGAATAAATATGTTCCTGATGTGAGAGATGCGACTCAAGTGAACGAATATAAAATGCCGTTGAAAACCGCACGTTCCCAAATTATCCTCGTGTCATCCGTATGCCTCTAGCTTTAAAAAAAAAGGTCTGACGTTAGACTTTCCCTGTAGACTGAAATTTTCATGGCTCTCATGTTCCGCAGCCCGAGGGATGCTGACACGTGGCAACAGTATGTGTCCTGGCAAATATCAGGTCTCCCGACAGCCTCTGTCGGAGCAGGTTCCCGACAGATATCCCAAACGCGGAGATCGGACGAAAAAAAGAGAGAGAAGGAGAGAAAAAAAAACACTACCCGATTTATTTTTCCAGCTCTGTCTCCAGTAATCTCAACGCCGTCTATTTCGGTGAAAATATTTTTGGCGCGCGAGATCCACGCTGCATATCATTTATCTGCCCCTGTCATTTCAGTTTTTAAATCGAAAGGTTCCTTCCCGACCCGAACTTGCGATTACAAGCAAATGAGATGCGCTATCGCGCGTCATCTCGGTCGCATCCCAAAGCGTTGACGTCACCGATGAAACGCCGACGTCAGATGATATCTGATGTCGACGCCGGCAATTATGCGCCTCGAAGCGTTCCGGCGTGGACTGAAAGAACTAACGTTGGATAAACGATCGGGCATTACCCTTCCGCAATAAGGAGGAACACGCTTGTTGCGCCATTCTTCCGGTTTTACGTCGTGTTCAATTTCCTGCATGCCGGTCGATTTAAAAAGCCGGCGCTTTATCCGCGAGAGGCGCTCGAACGCGCTCGAGCATCGAGACGAATCGCCTTTGATCTTTTAAATCGAGATAAACTTAGAAAAGAGTCTCGAAATATTATCGCACGAATCTGAAAAATTGATACGTTTTCTCTGATTTAACTACATTGAAAAAAGAGCAAGTTTATCTCAAAACTTTAAATCAGAGAAATCTGGAAAATGTTAGGAAAATTAAAAATAAATAAAACAATCAAGGAAATCAGGGAAATGTTATGGAATTGTAGGATGAGAAATTTGTGACAACAATTTTGCTGAAGTCTAAAAATTAAAATAAATAATTAAATTTAATATAAAACGCTTAAGTGTTAATGGCAATACTATAAAAAGTTTTGACATTTTAGCAAAATTTGAACATCCTATATAATTATTTTGATGGTCTGAACGAAATTATTTTCAGATCTGTATCTATACTAAATTTTTAGATATACTTTAACAAATCCGTTCTTTCCGTGCGAACGGGAACGTTTTGCTCTTTTTGAGAAAACATCGCGAATCAATTTCCGGCGTTATGTCAAAGATAGTATAATCGCAGAATTGCGATGATTCTTGCACGCGACGAAGAACATAATTGGCTTGTGATTTGGCACGCATTTAGAAAGTTAGATAGATCAATAAAGACTCTGGAAGAGAGAGAGAGAGAGAGAGAGAGAGAGAGAGAGAGAGAGAGAGAGAGAGAGAGCATACAATGACGCAGCTCCTCACCAATCATAGATCCATAGCTCATGAAATATCTAACGCAAGAAGGAAATGGCGGTGTAGATATAATACTTCACACTGTATCGTCGATATAATCGCAGTCGGTCGCCAAGTTGCGTGCATTATTTCCGACGGATAATTTCCCGATAATATTTAAGCGATTTGACCAAGTCTAGCCTTCTCATATTTCAGAACTCTCACAATCACGAGCTAAGTCTTCACGCAATTCTTTTCGACTACTGCATATCTAATCATATTTTGTTATTTTTATATTGTTAATTCCTTGCGATGTTCAAGCGAACAACATGACAATTAAAATAGGATTTAATTGTAAAATTTTAATATAAATTGCAACAGGCATAATCGATATTATAATCGCAATGGAAAGAACAATGTTACCAAAATGAATTATTTGAAAGGCATACACCACGACGCAAGATGTTGGTAGCTATTATTTTATATTTTCATCCAATTTATATTAATAATATTATGGTGTATGCCTTTCAAATAATTCATTGTTGTTAATTTAACCATGTATTGACTCTTAGTTGAATGTTACCAAAATATCTAAAAATTTAAGTAACAAATTCAAAAATAATTTTGTTAGAGCATTAAAATAATTACATACAAAACTCAAACATGAGCAATACTGCAGAAAATTTTGACAGTCTAGCAATCAATATTTGAGTAGCCTTACATAATTATTTTGATAATACAACAAAATTTATTTTCATCTGTATTCAGCTTATTTTTTAGATACTTCAGCAAAACTGTTCTTTCCGTGTGTTATCATATTTCTTTCACTCATTACAGTTCTCAACGCAAGTTGCAACCCTGAAGTGTTTTACAGCCCTTCTGCCTTTTGTAGTTATTGTTCTAATACTGGTACCCACTACATTCATGTTGAATATACAAGTCACCAGATCCAAATCAAATAACTACTTGTTTATCTCTTCTGCTTGACCTATTTCCGCGTAATGTATAATAGCATTATATTTATAGTAATTTTAATTTAAATGATAAAACTCTATAAAATTTATGTGATTAGGTACAAAAAAGAAGCACTTGATAAAATAATAGAAAATCCATAATCATTCAATTAGCATATATTTTTTATTTAATCCTGAGAAATATAGATGGGAATCTCTGATGGATTTTCAAGAGATTACGTAGAAATTTAGACTCAAATTAACAAAGCGTCTACTTTTATATTAATTTTATATCATCTAATTTTATTCCGATTTTACATTGAATCGTGTGTTTTATGCTAAATAAAATGATGAGCAAAAAAAGAGCTGTGCCTTTTTTTCAAATTACTCAAGCTCGAAAATAGCATAGGAATATGTCTACACCTACGATTTCTTGTTATAAAATTTTAACGAGCATACATATCGCGTTTATTCTCGCCAGATCGCCAGACATATACTTTGAGTGCATAAAGAATAGGGATGTTCCGATCTTCAAAAGATCGACCTTCCCAAATGACATTAATAATTTTAAACTGATCTATTTTGCGAAAAATTGATTTTTCTGACTAAAAGGGGGTATTTTAAATCAATCTCTTTGTAAAGAATCATTTCTTTTTTTAACAAAGAGGGCTATTTCGAAGCATTTTTTTTACAAAAAAATCGATTTTTAACGAATCAATCCGGAAATCGCACATCCCTAATAAAGAGTAACGACATACCAAGCAGCAGGAGTTTAATGTCCTTGGCCGCCTGGATACCATCCTCCTTGAGATTCTTCTCGATCTGCTTGCTGCGAGCCAGAGCGGCTCGCTCTTCCGCGGACATGGCACAGCCCATCTTGCTACACGTTGCCTTTACAAATGCCACCCTCACGCTCTTCCTCTCTCACCAGCAGCTGCTAAACAGCGCGGCCAGATAACGGCCCCGTCGCCACGAAGAGGGTGAAACGACCTCCGGGCGGAACTTCTTCTCCTCCACCACCACCACCTCTCTGCCTCCTTAATTCCGTTCTCCTCGTCGCACTTGGAACTTCCCGCGGCCGCGATCGTCGCCGTCGTCACCACAGCAGCCGATACCACCACCGCCACCACAACCACCGTAAACACTTTCGCCACCGATACCACTAACACCACTATCGTCACTGGCACTGCCTCCTTCACCGGTTTCACCGTCTCCTCCGCCGCCGCCTCCTCCTCCTCCTCCGCCACCACCACCGCCGTCCTCCTCCTCGTCCTCGTCTTCGTCGTCTTCGTCTTCGTAGTCACCGATGGCAACCTTACTGGCAGCAACCGGCACCGAGTGGTCCCCTAACTACCTGGGCGACCGCAGCCACCCGTACGCGACTCTAACGACCGCCACACTTGCGTCGATTTAACCGCGCGATTCAGCAGCGCCTGCAAGCAGAAAGAAAGTAATCAGATAAATCCCGTAATCCTACCTGAGAATCTCAACATGTTACAAAACTTGTGCTGATAGCTCAACAAAAATGTAACAATCTACCATCTGTATAAGTAACGTGTGCTGTAATGTGAATTGATATGGACTTTCTACAATAAAAGCGGTACAACCAATCAAAAATCACCCCTAAATTCCAGCGCGACTTTCATTTTTCTAGGAGGCCTGTTCGCGTTGCTTGAAATCCCCACAAATTTTTGCATTTAAAATGAGATAAATACATATTTGGGCATTGAAGAGAGAGAAAACGAAGATGCTGAGTTCAAAGAATGTAAGCAACGCAAACAGACCTAAGATTGTTATATTCGTGTCAGTTGCATTTAAGGGTAAAACACATGGACGCTATTATTTTATTACTGCGCATCTTCGAAAATACAACACCTTGTCTAATTCCGCTATGCCCTTATCTAAGCTTTAAGTCTTAAGCTATGAGAAATCCACCAATCATAATCGATTATTCTTATCATTATTCTACTGTGATCCTTCAATTTCTTACGGTTTAAGACTTAACTTAGGTAATGGCTTATTGTAGAAAGTCCAATTGATATAATAAACTTTTAAGTAATTTGCTTTGCTACATTAAAAACATTAAAAACTTTCCAATTAAATCTTGCAAACATATTTTCTGGTATTGAACCAAATCAAATCAGAAAAATAACAAATAGATAAGGAAAGAGACAATACGGTCGAGGCTACATTTTGGTATCTTAATAATTTTTATACGTAAAAATTTATACATGTAAATAATATTTTTATGTTATATTTAAATATATTTTATAGTTATGCAAACTGTATGTTTCTTACTCTCGGACTTGAAACACAATTATAAACTAAAGCTGAAATAATAATATCAAAATTAAATTGGTCGTCGATCAATTTAATAATGAAAAATGAATCAGTATATTTTATTACTGATTTCAGTGCACTTATAATACACTATAATACATTTATAACTGATATAATTATCAGCGAATATTTATTGTTTTTCAGTAAAAATACATTGATTCACTTTTAAAAATTATAACTTCTGCAAATTACAATGCATTTTAATCTGTAGAGAATCATAACCTCTAAAAATGAGAATCGGTGTATTATTACTGAAAAACAATAAGTATTCTACATTTATAACTGATGTAATCATCAGTTATAAATGTAGAATACTTATTGTTTTTCAGTAATAATACACCGATTCTATATTTATAACTGATGATTACATCAGTTATAAATGTAGCACTGAAGTCGCTGATTCACCTTTAGAAAATACATACATAAAAATATTATTAAGCACCGAGAGCCTCGATCGTATTGGTTTTTTCCTTAGTTATTTGATTTATTCATATAGTCTGATTAACTTATTATTGGAAAAATAATTATTTCACATTGCATGTTGTTACATGCGACTTATCAAACGAGTGATCAATTATAAAACCTAGTCTTGGGATTAGATTACAGATATCGATACTAGTCCTGTTCTTTTTGGCTGAACTTTTGCACCAGTTCATCTCTTTCTTCCCCTTCTTTCCTCCTGGAGAGAAAAGGAAGAAAGATGAACTGGTGCAAAAGTTCAGCCAAAAAGAACAGGCCTATTGTTTAGCCAATCCTCAATTCACTGAACGAATAATGCCTAGAGATACGAAGAAGAGACGAACACTCGTTTTCGCTTTTCTAGCGACAAGTACCCATACTTACGATCGCAACTTGGCAGATCGCCCGTGTTTGATATGCTGAAAGGTTCTCAACCAATCGCCGCTGATAACGTCGTTTGTTCATCGTATCTCGTTATTATTCCTCGGCGCGAGCCGGGTAATAATTTTATTAGGCTGGCGTATCGTAACCGCTCGATGCGATTTAAGACCTTGTCTCTGAGCATGAATCTGATCTAATGTCATTAGCCGTAGTGAATGAAAGATTGAATTTCGCAATAATAAAAGAGAAAATGAATCAATAAAAATACTTCAAATCCAATAAACGAATTTTGGATCGTCAACGTTGTTATAATGTTAAGTAAAACGTCTTGCAGTTAACTCAAGATAATACAAAAAGATCTAAAAATATAACAAGTTGACGAATTCCAGAGAAAAATGCTATTTCATATGTAACTTTATTTAGCTCGTAAATAATTAATGGAATAGTTTGATTAGACGTGATATATGGAGAGAATTTTCTTTTAAAATTTACCCTGAAAATATGGTGATTGTGGTACAATACAATATTTTGAAGATTTTTACCATGCACTTCAGTAAAATTGATCAAACTTATTTTATACTTTATTGTAGTTTTATTAATGAATGAGAGAGATTTATATTAAAATTCTTCGAAATACAATGTTGTCCCACGACTATCATATTTTCAGGGTAAATTCTAAGAAAAAATTCTCTCCGTATAGTATTAGACTAAGTTTATATTCAGTTAGCCTATAATTTAACGCAACTCACAAAAGAATGTTGTTGCGTGGAAATGACGAATTATAATGAAATAGAAATCAAATTGTAGGCCTTAACAAGTTATTTAAGAAAACTCAATCTAAGTTTCCTCTGCTGTTTATTAAAAACAAACCTAACTTAAAACCGGAGTGAAAAGATAGCAATGCTAAATTAGATTCCCGATTTAACTATCATTAGATTCCAGCGATCGCTTGGCAGTTTAATAAAAAAAATGATTTCTCTCTTACTTCAATTTTTAATAAAGACGATTTATAAATTTTCGGACATCAAAATCGTCTTTGAATTTGAAAATCTTAATCTTATAAAAATAAAACATACATACACGTCAATAGATACTAATAATAATAAATTGAAAACACAAGTTTCTTTCTATGTGCATGTTAAAGTATCGTCTTTATTTCAATGCGCGAATATTTCGATAACGTCGAAGACATTAAAGTACCGGTGACAGTAATCGTGCAAAGTATAACAAAAGTTCAAATTGCTACAAAACTGCAGCACAGTAACGTTTGAAAAACGACGCGATCTAATGTTCATTGTAGAAACTTTAATCTCTTTAACTTACTTTTCAACTTTTTCTATGTAGTTCAAAGAGTTAGAAAAAAATACGAAGAGTAAATTAGCCCAAGACTAAAATTAATCTTCTTTGGAAGAAATAAGCCTAAGAAATTATTTCATCGCCGTCGCAATCTAGATTCACTAATTATAAGATCGATATCAACTTGGGATCAAATGTATATCGAGAATTATCTTAAAAATATCATATCTCCACAAACAATTTTAATAACGATGCCGTTTGTTTTTTGCCGTCTCCAGGGCGCTCGGTGTGTATATCGAAGCTCGTCGAAATCGTTCCGGTTGCGATAGCTGAATTTTTAATTAGTGGGAAATTCAGTCGCAAGCTGGAAATGTCCATGGTTTATTCGTTTGTCGGATTGCACGTACATCTTCGTAAGCACGGCATTACGTGGAAACACACCGGCGTATACGATCAATAAAATGCAACGACCTGATATAATGGAAGCGATACGCGTTGCGCTTCATAAAATACCATCGCCGGCATAGTCAGGCTAAAATATGTTAAGGAGATGTAACGCGCGAAAAAAAGTCGGGCGAAAGTCTGCGAATTGTAATCCCTTCGATTTATCGAGTTTCTCACGATCGACGAGTTCATCTCTCCGGCCTCTCTCTCATCCACACATAGAAAGACACTTACGCAAGTAATAATTACTTGTTGAAATATTTAAAAAATTCGTATATCCGCAAATTCTATTATAAGTTCATCACAAGCATCAAATTTATTCTAAATATATTTTGAATTCTAGTAAATTTAATACATCAGTTAAGATTACTAAATTAAAACAAATTTGATTTGCTATTATATAAAGTTGCTTCTTCGATTAATTTTATAATATTCTTTAAAAAAAAATAAATTCTTGTTTTGAGTACACAATAATGAATTCTGAAATTTGTAATAAGTATATTTTAAGATTATTATAAAAAAAAAATATTCTTTGTTGAAATAACCGTTACTTAAAGGAAGAAAATAAATTGATCACTTCTCTTAGCAGTAGAATGATATTTTTCTGTGTGCATCTCTCTTCTCCTCAAAAATAATTAATGTGCAATACGGAAAGGAATATAATATATTCCGTATCTTATGATACGCGAGTTGAGTTTACTTTATCCAAACAAGTCTCATTTGTTACGAATATATTTTATTTTGCACGAGATATGCTGATCATTATTTAGTCTAAAAGATTGCTTAATTCAAGAGAATTAATTACGCAGTAAATTTCATTTTCACACAGAATATTTCATTTTCTAACGTAGATTCTTTATCGCTCACATGACTTCTTTCGCGCCGTGTTTGAGAAGTAGCGCGCAGTAGTTTTAGTGCGGCAGGAGAGAAAGGATCCGAATCCTCTCAAGCAACTGCAAGTCGTTTAATGCATACTTGAATATCTGAACATCTTTCACATTTCTTTTTCATATAATTTCAGAGAATAATTAACAACTCTAGTGCCGTGTGTGTCTAAATTGAAAATACCGTAAAATTGAACCTTTAATAATTTTAATCTATATATTATAGAAAGATATCCAATTTATAATTTATTATTTACATTATAAAACCGTGCTTAATTACACTGTTTTTTGTTTGTTCACAAATAACAGCTGAAATTGGATCCCTGATTGTAGTATCAATTATTGGAAAATAAAAGCAGGATATTATATTTATTATTATATAAATTTTGAAAATGTCTCTAATGACTTTTATAAAGCAAATGAAATTTTTCTGATAATTTTGCCACGGTTATTTTCGATGTCCGAACGATTTAAATGCAGTAGTGATACGGCGTAAAACCTTTTATTGATTATGGTCACGCGACGAGTATTCCAGATTGTATCTGAAATTTAAAACTATTAAAAGATACAAACGAACACTTCATCTCGCATCAGGTACGTCAAAGAAAGATTAAAATACAAATGTACAATAATTATTGTTGTACTTTATCGAGAAATTACATTTCCTTTTTATATTCCGGAAACTGGAAATATCCCTCCTCCGTGACTTTAACGAAAACATTGACCCACGTGTATCGTGCATATTGCAATTTTATCGCGTGTCTGAACGACGTATCGCTCGTTAGTACATTTTGCATAGAGCGAAGAGCCTAATTGATATTGCATAAAATAAAAATTATTTATGCCTATTCCTAAATGTAGTTTAATTTTAATCTTGGTTCAATTAACTCTTA